CAATAATCAACTGTGCAGCTCTACTTTTAATCAATGTGATTTTTCATCCCCTTAATCCCCCTTCTCCCCCTCCCTCCCACCTCTGGCGCCCACTAATAAACTTTGGTCTCCATTTATTTGCCTTTTTATGTAAGTGAAGTCATACAATATCGGCACTTTGGGGATTGATTTATTTCCTTCAGCATGATGTCAAGTTCCGTACATACTATATCATGTTTCAAGACTTCATCTCACCTACTTGCTGTATAGTATGTTCCTTTGTAGGTATGTACTGCATTTGGTGTGTCCATTCATCTGTAAATGGACAGTTAGGTCGTTTCCATCTTTTAGCTGTTGTGTATAGTGCTGCGGTGATCATTGGTGCACACATCTCTTTTGGAGAATCTGCTTTCAAGTCTCCTGGGTTATACCTAGGAGTGGAATTGCTGGGCCGGATGGCATCCCTAGTTCTCGTTTCCTAAGGAATTGGGACACTGGTTTTCACAATAGCTGTTTTATTTTTCTCACCCACCAGCAATGGGTAAGGGGTCCGATTTGCCCACATCCTCATCAACATAGGTTATTTATGGCTCTTGACTTTGTTTATTTTATCTTAACCATCCTTCTTTTTGTCATTAAGTATCACTGAGTCAATTCTGATCCATAGTGACCCTGTACAGGGTTTCTGAGGAGCAGCTGGTGGGCTTGAACCACCAACCTTGTAGGAGTGAAAGACCTCATTGTCATTTGGGTTTGCATCTTGCATGTGTTTGTTGGCAATTTGCTCTCTTTGGTAAAATGTCTATTCAAGTCCTTGGCCAATTTTATGATTGGATCATTTGTCTGTTTGTTTTTAAGTTCTCGAAGTTTCATAAATATTTTCGTTACTAGGTTCTTGTCAGATGTACGGTTTCCAAAGATATTCTCCCAGTCGGTAGTTTCTTTTTTCCCTTTTTAGGTAAAATCTTTTGATGAATGAATGTTTTGTTTTTGTTTTTGTTTTTTTCACCTTTATTTAGTTTGTCTTTGCTATCTGTGCTTTTTGTTATTCAATCATCCATTTTTGAAAGCTATGCCTGACAGCATCGCTCCTGCTTCTGAGAATGTTATGTCCTGGTGTGGTGTCAGATATTAAGCACTAGGCCTCAAGGTCGGTTTAAACTGTAAGGTCAGTGGTTCAAACTCACCAGCCGCTCCTTGGACACCCAATACGGGGCCACTATAAAGTCAGAACGGACTCGACAGCACTCCACAGCAACAGCAGTTAGCACATTCAGGTCCTTAGTCCATAGTGGATTTTCTTTGTGTGTGCTGGGGCCCGTTTCATTTCTCTGGGTGTGGAAATCCAATTTTCCCAGCATTATTTATTGTAGAGATTCTTCTTTCCCTAGTGAATACACTCCGCACCCTTGTCAGAATTCTAATTCTATTCCATTAATTTATGCTATGGAGTCATGGTGTGGCACTGTGGGTTCACGTTCTGGACTGCAAGGTCAGTGGTTCAAGCTCACTGGTGGTTCAAGGGCACCAGCCGCTCCTGTACAGCCACTTCCATAGACTATGTGTCGAAACCAACTGACGGTACTTAACAACAACTAAATCTACGTTATACCAGTACCAGGCTGTTTTGATTACTATAACTGTATAGTACGTTTTTAAAAGATCCATGCCTTTTTGAGGGAAATAGTTTACTAAACCTAGACGCCACCTTTAAACTTTTTGAAACTCCAAACTTATTGAAGACACATTAAAATGCAGTCCCCCATCCAGAATAGCCTGTGAAAAACAGGGGTCTAGAAAGCTCTGACCCAAACAAAGGAGTTCTCCCTTGCAGTGGGTCCCATGAGGGCTTGAAAAAAACATGTATTGTCCCTCTTGGTATCATGTAGCAGAAAAGTCAGGAGTCCCAGGGTGGACCACAAAGATGGAGGGTGGCAAAGGGCAAGTCCCTGAGGATGCCTAGGCCTCTGTTTGTCCATCAGTAGAATTAAAGAGACAGACTTCTAAATTCTCTTTCACCCCAACAGCCCAAGATCTCCCCAGTTTTCATCATCCCACTGTTCAACTTAGAAAGACTTCAAAGCATTGCCTTTTTGTACAGAAACTTTTATTTCCTTTTGTTGATGAACTATCTGCTAAAACTATAAACAGTCCTTTCAAAACAGTGCCATTTTAGGGAGTTCATTTCTGGAAGTGAACACATTTTTACGGTGGTAATTCTCATAAAATGAGCCCAAAGCACCGATTCCAGTGGATTGAGGAGGTCCCTCGGAGTGTTGTCTGTCCGACAGACATCCTTTGGAGCAGCCCTAACATGAGGTACCATCCACCCCCATAAATAGAGGGTTCTAGAAAGGACAAAGACACAGAACTGTAGGCTGATGTGAGTTCCTTGGTGTACTCCGTAGTGGTGTCTTGAAAAGGAACGGATTCACCCAGCAACTGTGGCAAGGAGTCCGTGTGTCCTTGTGGGCACCATCCCTCGCTTGGCCACATCAATGATTGTGGCCCCAGCTCTCTGAGTCCCAGTCTGTCAAAAATGTTGCTTGAGTTCCTGAAGTTTTTTAAGAGCACACAAAACTCCACCATCTGTATGCCATCTCTGCCTGATAAAACATTGAAGGAGTGTGCCTTGCTTTGTTTTTACTTTCTTTGGCCTTGTGCCACTCCCTTGTAACTTACAGTTAATATTTTCTGTTTACAAGTTCTTTTTAAGTGGAGGTTTTAAGATCTTGTTTATTGTAGATGTAAAAAAACAAACTTTTTGTGTTGTAGAAAAGCCTGGGTTATACGTTTGTTTGGAAAAGGCAGTGTGCATTTACCACAGGGGTATTTTTTGTGTGTTTCTGCATTTGCTTATAAATGCATTATTTTGGTACTGTAAATTGGAACACAGTTTCTGAGCTTTTTAGTGCTGGTATTTTCATTTTCCTATTTTTTAAAAACTGTGAGTGTGGTTATGTGGTACCCAGGTACCAGACCACCAGCATGTTCTCGTCAGACTGTGGGTGCAGTGGGGACTGCCCTGCATGCCCGGCTCCTGTAAGGTTGTGTTGTATTTTTATTTTTGCTTTTTGTTCCAGCATTCTGTTTTGTGTTGTTTTCCAAGCAAGATCTGTTGAGACACCCCCCACCCCCGCCCCCACTGTTTTCATGAGCTCTCTTTGGCCTCTTTCCTTGTGATTTCGATGGTGCAGGAGAGTTTCTAGAAGGTATCCATGGTCTGCATTCAAAATAATGTGGTTTGTTCGGATTTCTTCCTGTCTTTGCTACTGACACGGATTCATCTCCTTTATTGAAATCGTAAACGTTGTCCAGCTATTGCTTAATAAAATTTTGCAGATCAAATAAAAAAAAAATCAGGCAACTATTTGTGTGTAGAATTCAGCTGTGAGTCTGGAGCCTTTGGATCAGCAATCGCAGGTACAGTTGCTGCTGAGGTCCCCGAGCCCTGAGGGCCTGTCCTCATGGAGCAGCTGCTGTGAGGTCACATGGAGCTTTCTTCTTGCAGTTTCTTTGAGTTCCTTTTCGGTTTGGGTTTTGCATTGCTTTTTAGAGGACAAGGATGTATCTGTATAGCACTAAAAAGATCAGAGGTGCTAAATACAGAGACACCTTCTCAGTGAGACTCTGTTGCGGTCGTGTGTGCCATCGAGTTAGTTCTGACTCATAGTGAAAAACTCATCTTTCTCTCATGAAGCTGCTGGCAGGCTCGAACCGCCGACCTTGTGTTTCCAAGTCCAGGGTTTACCTTACAAATCCACTGTGCTCCCGCTTCTTTGGGTAGTATTAGAAAATAGGAAATTTAGCTTTGCAACTCCAGCCACAGGAGCCCTGGTGGTGTGATGGGTTAAGCATTCGACTGCTCACTGGAAGGTTGCAAGTTCAAACCCAACATATGCTCCTCAAGAGAACAGTGAGGTCATCTGTTCCATAAAGATTCGTGGCCTCAGAAGTTGCTCTGTGCAGAGATCTTCTCTGTCCTTTTAGGGCCGCTGTGAGTCAGGATTGACGGCAGTGCGGGTTGTTTGGTTACTCCTGTCCCCAGACTCACTGTGGAAGAGAAATGACTGCCTCCTGGGATTGTATTGCTTATTCCCAAGACCACAGACTTTGGAACAACAGTGGAGACCCATGACTGCAGCACACAGTGAGTATGTTTACCCTCTTTCCTTTCCAGAGACAGTCGGCACCATGAGAAGTGAAAGGTTGAAATGTTTTCTGGATTCCATAGGCAGAAACGAACCTGAAATTGGATCCCAGGTTCTGGACCACATTAATGAAGAGACCTACTTCACTTCTCACTCTGGTATTTCATGATGAGCACCTGACTCTTGGCCATCTTCTGTGAAGAGCTGGGACAGTCTCCCTCCCCTTCTCAAGGGAGCTCAGCTGGAGGGAGCTGTGGGCACTTGTTCTTGAATCTTCCAAGACCAAACATTGGCTCACAGCTGGTGTCCCTCAGCCAGATGTCAGTAAGGCGCAGCTGTGTGGCTTTGTCCCTGAGTATTTTAGGAGCAGTTGTTCAGTGCACTAAAGGACATGGAACCATCATGTAAAGAAAGAGCTAGTTTCTTAAGCTTACGAAGAGTTCCTGCTAGCATGAACACAGTAGTCCCACTGAGAGTGAGTGTTAGCTATGAAAAGCAGGAGGCTCTGCCGCCCACCCTCTGCTCTCCTTCCTCTGGGGGTGTACCATCTACGCCATTTCCAGGGCTATCGGAAATGAAGGCATCCCATTGACTTCTCTTGCTCCAGCCCCATTCCAGCACCTCCTGAACTCTGATCGTGCACCCTCCCCACTGCAGGTCCCTTTACCACTCCTGGGTGTGAATGATCAAGGTGGCCACCTAGCAGCATCTCCAGCTATGAACCAATCATGTGCTTACTCTTTCCACTCTTATCCCAAGCCAAGAAAACGGCCATGCCTGACATCCATCTCAGAGTGTGCAGGCAACAGGGTCTCTGGTCTCTGGCTCTTCCTGCTTACCCCTGTTGAATGAGTCACTGGCAGGCGGGTGATGGACTGCTGGAAGCATGATGTGGTTATAGAGCTGTCCTCCAAAAAATCAGAGAACAGAGATCTGGTCCTGGTCTGCCAGCCAGGTGCCACGTAACATGGGAGTGTGCTTCATTTTGCTCAACTCACAAATGAGATTAGACTAAGTATTTCCCAGAATGCATTCCATACTTCCTCAGCATCTGAGTAAAGTAAAACTAGCTACGTACTGTAGGTCTTGCCAGAAACTTCAGTGTGCTAATGTGTTGTGTTGTTAAGTCAAATTGGCTCTGACTCATAGCGACCCTGCATAGGTTTCCAAGGAGCAGCTGATGAGTTTGAACTACTGACCTTGAAGTTCAAACCGACCTTACAGTCCAGTGCTTATCCTACAGCTTGCATGGAGGATTTCCAAAGGAAAAGAAATATGAGGGGACTTTAAAAAGTGCATAGATAAATCCCACTATCTTTTCTTTCTATTTTTCCATGATCGTTTTGAAACCCCCTTGTACCTTGTGCATTGTTGCCCAAACACTTTGACCTTGGAACCCAATTTGGAGAGAGCATCTTGTTGGACCAGTGATCCCAGAGATGGTCTTTGGGAAATTGCACTGGATACTCTCCAAATCCTTCCCAACTCCCGAATTCTTTGCTTGTAGAAATTTTATTGAAACCCAATGCAGGTTTCTTTTCTCATGCTGCTACGATGAAAGGTCCACTTATTTCTACTCAAAAGACCCTTGCTCAAATCTGAAGTCTGTTTGCTGAGCTGTAAATGTCTAAAGTTTCCGACTGAGACAGAAATGAGCTCCCGCCCTTTACCCCCAACCCAGATGCAAATGCTGAGCTTGTTCAATTTGCAATTCTAACTCATGCAAATACAGTCCCTAAAGCTACTGAGACTGAGGACTTCTGACTCCTCCTAACCTTGCTCCTCTTCTGTCCCCAATGAAGACTGAGATTTCTGCTTCCCACTCAACTACAAGCCATAGACATCACCTTCACTCAACGCAGGGTCAGCCAAGGATTCATCTCCGTGGAGTCCTGAATGACACAGGCACCATGTTGGAATCGCAGCTCCCAGTGTGTTGAGAGTTCATAGATGTGCGGTCAGAAGTAGTTCGAACTCCCACTTGCTACTCGGTGACAAAAGTCAATGTCCCCTCTGAACTCTTACAAAGACTTCCTAGCATTTCAGTATTCAGAAGTAGTCAAGAGCTGAGACTATTCATCTTTTATGAAAGTCAGACAGCAAATAATGTCCCTTGGGAGTCCTGAGCAGCTCCCTGGGTGTCTACCTGGTGGGTACCTAGAAAGAAGGAGACTTGGCTGGTGATGGACCTGCCCCTGGGAGGGTAAGCCCTGGGTGGGGGCCCCCTTAAGAGAGGCCCCTAAAAAGAGTCCCCAGGGAGATCCTGGCTTGTGCTGTTATTTCTTGAGACCACCCAGGGGACAGGGCTGCCTCAAGATTATCTGGAGCTTGTAATAAGGTTGTGGTGGCAATGTGTGGCCTGCGACTTCACAAGGAGAAGGGAAATCAGACTCAGCATTTGCCCAAAGCCAGTTTCTATGAAAGAGATAGATGTTAAACATTCCTCTACTCTCCAACCTTCTTTAACATTTCTTACACCAGCAGATGCTCACACTGCATTCGCTATATCTCTACTGGGTTAAAAAATTCATTGCAATGACCAGGCAGAATTCACAGACACTATTTACGATTATGGGGTTTATTAGGAAAGTTAACAGGTCACAGTTTGGCACCAGAAATGCTCAAGATAACAGTTCATTCAGTGGGGAGAGCCTCTTCCTAACCAGGCCCACATACAAGTGTTTCTGTGGTCTTTGGTCTGTCAGCCACATGGCCCCTTGGCCTCTGCCCTGCTCCAGCCATGTTACAGAGCTCATTCAGGGCTGCCAGTAAATGCCTAGAGGGCACTCCATTCCACTATAGAGCACTCAGCTCTAGCTCTGTGGGTCAGCAAACCTAGTTTCCCCAAGTAAGTGTCCAGAGGCACCCCACTCCACAAGTGAGCCTCCTGGCCAAAGGCACTCAGCTTCACTCTCTCCGTGGACCAGGAAGCCCACTGCTCTGTCTGCTCCTCTGCCTCTCTGCTATGATTTCTCAAGGCATTGAGTTTTTTGCTCCTGATCAAGGAAGGCCAATGCACAGTATTCTCAGGCTCTCTTGATGGTAGTGAAAGCCCCTCCACCCTCCACCCCACCTCGTGCTGCTTCCGAGATGGTTCAGTTATATGCAGCACGCTGGTAAAATTGACCGATCCTTGCATTAAAATGTCGAGTTTCTATAATAACAATTAGCTGTGTTAGCAAACGCTCACAACAGAATCATATCATCCCATCAAAGTGGTTTGATGGGCATTACAAAGACCATGACTAAAGCCAAGCCAAGTAATTTACTGTACCACAGGGCTCTTTATTGCTTAAATAAACAAGTTTCCAATTTTTCTAAATTTTATAATCATATGAATGAAACCAATCTACCCACTAGTGAAAATATAAATTAATTGACCTTAATAATATCCCAGGAGTCCTGGTGTAGCACTGCGTGTTAATGCGCTGAACTGTAAGGTTGGTTTGAACCACAAGATCAGCTGTTCAAGCTCACCAGGTGCTCCTCAGAAACCCTATACCAGGTCACTATGAATCAGAACCTGTTTGACAGCACTTAACAATAGCAACAATAATATCCCTGGTAGCATAGTGGATTAGGAGCTGGGCTGCTAACTGCAAGGTCAGCAGTTCAAGTCTACCAGTCGCTCCTCAGGAGAAGGATGAGGCTTTCTATTCCCCTAAAGATTTACAGCCTCAAAATCCTATTCAGGGTCGCTATGAGTCAGAACTGCCTTGATAGCACATAGTCACTACCACTGCCAATAAAATCCCACCACTGATTTGTCAAGTACTCTGGGGGCTTGTACATAGCTGTAATGCTGGATGCTATGCACCACTATTTCAAATACCAGGAGGGTCATCCATAGTGAGGAGGTTTCAGTGAGTCTTCCAGATAGAGAATAGGAAGAAAGGCCTGGCAAATCAGTCCATGCAAACTTTTACGGATCACAGCAGATTATTCTCCGACTTGCTTGCTTTAGACACATCACATGTTTGGTGAAGTCGAGGATCCCAAGGGCCAGGGCGACTCTCAGTGAGATGAGTTGGCACAGAAACCACTAGAATGAACTTGAGTGTGCTGGCCATCTTGAGGGTGATTTGGGACCAAGCACCGTGTCATTCTTTTGTACATGAGGTACAACATGTACAGCATGAGTTGGTGTCGGCTCAGTGACAGCTATCTAATAAGAATATCTAATAAGAATATCACCTAGACTCCTAGAAAGAGAAAGGAAGTATGCTGGCGAGCAGGAGGCTGGCTTGCAAATTGTGCCATTTGATTGTTTCAATGATTATATATCCCTGTGTGTTTTTGTGTAAATCAACAAAAGGGGCAGGGGGAGGGGACAGAGGCAAATACTGTTAACCAATGGTGCATGGAGGGAATTGTAATCATTACGTTGAGACAAAATACGGTTGGTTGAGTGCAAAACCAATGTTCTCCCATGTAAACTATCGCTCAATTCACAATAAATAGCATTAATATAAAGGACTTCTGGCGCTTCCAGGACCAGGCAGCTCAGGTAGGGCAGGCTCCAGGGAAAAGGGGCGGAATCGCACATAGGAAACCTCTGTCTAGCAGACAGCCAGCCTTTGAGCAAACATAAGATCTTATATTTCAACATTCTGAACTCGTTTTTTTAAAAGATCAAATTGCTGAGGAATTACAGGCATATTGAGCTTTTGCCTGCCTGCTCATAGCTCCCGCTCTCCGCTCCCCGTGCTGAGTGCCTCTGCCCCCTGCAGACCTTGGAATGCAGGGCTAGAGCAACCCCATTTAGAAGGCTGCATTTCCAGAGAAAAGGAAGCATAAACTAACAAAGCTGAACAAATAGAGAGGGATATCGGTGCAGATATCAGGAAATTTGGGGTACCCACAGTACAGAGAGACTGAGAGAGGCATTTTTTACATCATCAGATACAGGCACCACCTCCCTGCAGCCACCACCACCCCGCCCTCTACTGCCAAGGCCTAGACCAGCCCTCTGCCAAGCCACCTAGGTTCAGGACCGCCCAAGGCACAGGCCCACCCACTGAGGCCAAGGCCTGCCCCGAAGCCCAACCCGCCCACAGGCTGGTCACAAAGGCCCAGGCCCAACCAAGGCCCAAATTGCCTACCCGCTGCACGGCCCAGGCAGCCCCACAGCCCAGTCGCCGCCAAGGCCCAGTGCCCCTGAGACCCAACCGGCCCTCAGCCTGGTCTCTGAGGCCCAAGCCGCCCGATGCCCAACTGTTGATACCCAGGCCGCCAGAGGCCCAAACCGCCTGCCCTAGGCTCAACCCACCCGCCCGAGGCCCAAACCGCCCGCCGCCAAGCCCCAGGCCCAACTGAGGCCCCAAAAAGTTAAACTCTGAGTTAAGCAATAAGAGGGAAAAGGGAAGACCACATCCTGATCACATCTTCCTGGAGAGTAGACACTGGAGAGGGAGAGAAAGGAATAGTCAGAAATACCACACTAGAAGGCTTGTAAGTCCGTCTTCTGCCTATGACTGATTGGAATACCTAAA